GTCATCTCCTTGTTGAACATCTGGCACACTGGTAGATTGGAGCAAAACTGTACTCCATGCATTTACCTCCCCAAAGTGAGTAGTGCCTAGACTCCCAGAGTCTCTATCCCATGCTCTCCACTTCCCAGTAAACATTGTGAAGGTCTAAGCACTTCTGAAAAGTCTTGACCAAGCTGACTAGTTTCTTGAACATCCACTAACAAGCAATTCCTACTGCTCTTAATATTAACAATAAATGAATAGTCTACCACTGCTGGGCAAGTGGCTTGCAGCCCTGCATGTTTATGAAAGTATCTGAGTAATCTCAGCCGTATGTGCCAACTCTCAGTGTGTTGTTTTTAAAGTGCTGTTATAGTTCACTGCATGTTTAATTTTTCATAGTTTATAAATTTATAACCATTGCTGTTTGTGGTGTAGGAAGGTCTGGAATCAGAAGGTCGATATTGGATCATTTTAAGGTCTAACCCACAAATTATTTCTTCCGTGGTGCCAGCTAAAGGATAAAGCTGAGAAAGCCCACAGAGCTTTCTGAGGAGAAATAACACTTTTCTGAGAGTGGTCAATGCGTTCATCAAGAATTCTGCAGGCTGCCTCAGATGTGGGGCAGAAGCTCAAACTGCCACTCTCTCATATAGCAATGAGATACCCCAGGCCCACTGCTAGCAAGAGTCAAACATAAGATGATAAAAAACAGACAAAACAAACACAATACCAAACATATTGACAGTACCGTAGCATCAGGATGTCCATGACCCTAATCTTGACCTCTGCTCTGTGCTGCCCTCTGAGCCTATGGGGCCTGAGCGAGCCATACGATGACCCACTTGGAGCTGCAGCTGTGTTTCTGCCTCCCCTTCCTTTGCTCCTACTCCTTTCCACAAAGGAGGGATGGTGGATTCTACACATCCCCACTGCTCTAGTGCTGGGACAAACAGAAAACAAGATATTTTTTGCATCCCTTCCTTTTGATTAGTGACCACTTTGTCAGAGGAAAAGGGATGAGGTGGAACAGAGGAGAGGGTGTTGTGTATGTGGACGTGAAGACCCATGGGAGAAAAAAAACATGGAGATTTCTATAGGAGAAAAGGCCTCATGCTCCAAAAGGAGAGAAGGTCACATCCTGTGAAATCTTGCTGGGGTGCAGGACCTTGCTCCAGGGAAGAAGGTGCAAAATAAGGACTTCAGCACCCAACTGGGTGGCAGGCTCTACCACAAAATCAAGTCTTGGGATGATTTCTGAGATCAGCTCAGCCAGGGTCCACCAGTGATTGCATGCCTTCGGCAGCAATTAAGGATGATGTTTTTCTTGTTTTTTAATGGAACTTGGACAGAAAACATCTGGATTTTCAACATTTTACATGTTCAACTGTAGCCAAAGGGTTATATCATCATTCAGAAAACAAACTGCACAGACAGTGATCAAAGAAGACACCCCTACCCACAGATTCTCTACCCACAGTAAAGAGATGAGGGGTGCTAAACACTTGCACCTAGATCCCCAACATTCATTTTGGATGAGCTCTATACACAGTGCATATGCTCAGTTCTTAAACAAGCCCCAGAACTGTCCATGCCCTCACTTTGGCACAGGAGATGTTACTAGTTCCCTAGCAGTGCCACTGGAATAGCTCTTCTGGGTGGCACATCTCTCATCCCACAGGGCAGCTGGTTTGCTCTTTGCCTTTGAAGGCATGCTGCCTTGGCAGACACACAACAGAGCCATATCTTGTGGCCTCTGCTGCCACTTGATTGTTTACTGTTCTGTCATTTACCAGAAACATTTCCCTGGATTAGGCCCAAAACATGAAAAAGCTGATTACAAGATGACCACAGACAGAGAAGACCATTTCCCAGTCATGTCCAGTAAGAAAAAAATCTCCCCTCTCCTAAGGCTAACAAATTCTGCACATTAACCATTTATACGTTGCAGGTCCAGCTGGGTTTCTTGCAGTACCAGTGTGCAATTAGCAGTAAAGAGCAATCAGTCTTCTTAAAACTGAAGTATTGATTATGCTAACAGTAGGAACAGGAAAGGTAGACAAAGCAATTTTTGAACAGAAGTCTTTATTTTGTGTCCATCTGCCCTTATAATTGCAGAATGATAGCACAGGTCAGCCTGACTTCTTCAGATGCAGAGCAGAGAACAGCTTCAGTCTGAGCAGTCCCCTAATAGCTTCTTCTTTTGGAAGGAGAGGATCTCTTTTTAGCCATCCAGAGTTCCTCCGCTCGGATCAGCTCCAGCACTTCCTCTGCATCTTCAGCCGCCTTCTCCATTCCTGCTTGCTTTCACAACAGTCCTGATTTAACATCTCTGTGCATAGCAACTGTCCTTCTGACTTAGTTAATATACCTTGTCCATAACACAGAGCAGTTGCATTTTTATGATGTGCTGTATTCTGTAAATACTGGTAGAAGGTTATGTTATAAAGACATAATGTTAATTCACTGTCAAGCAGCTCAAGGTTTAAAGCACCACAACGCCATCAAATTAAATTAATGCAGTTGGATCAAAGTCAAGATATATCTGCAATTTTATACATGGACAAATTACTTTTTAAAAAGACCTATTCAAGAGGCTGATATTTAAAGATTTTTTTTTTAATTATTTACTCAAATAATACATATTTGGAATAACAAAAATATAGAATAACAAAAATATTCTAGAAAACAAGGAGTACAGACACTTAAACTTGTGTCTATTTCTAGCATTTCATTTATTTTCTGTATGTGATACACAAAGAAATATATGCGCATATTGACTGTAGTAGCATTCATTGCATGCAGATGATTTCCCCTTCGAGGAACATTTTGGATATATTCAGCTCTCTGGAAGGACTATAATGTTTTCTTTCAAAAGCAGTTGTTTACACTGCTCTTTTAAGGCCTATTCCTGCCATTGTTCATAAATGCATTGGGACTACTCACCTGTACATGGCATAGCCTAAGCCTTATCAGACACTTAAGTAAATAAAGGAGCAGATGAGCTAAGGCAGAAACCTCACAACATGCTATTGCATGAACACGAGCCCTGCTGTGATGATGCGATGGGAGGACAGAAAGGTTACACATACACCATTTCATATGCAGCAGCTGTCTGATATGCATTTACTATGAGACTTATCTAGGTCTGTAGAAAACAGGACAAGAAGAACTTTTAACAGTATGAAAAAAAGGCAAGTTTTCTCTTGAACACTTGAATGCTATGCTATATCTTCTATACTTTGAAAACTATACACTTCTTTTGACTGGGATTGCTTTACCCAGAAGTATGGTAGCGTATCTTAGCAACAGCGGCAAGGGGGAAGACTTACTGTACTGTAAAAAAATTAAAACAAAATGTATATAGCTGCTGACTGTTATAAATACATCCCTACCACTCTGAGGGGGTGTTCAATTATACTCCTGATTACTTTTTGTGTTTCCTTTTTCAAAGGGGTGGGGGCACTTCTCCAGTTCTCAGCTCACCCATGAAGAGCCCTAAGCATTTTAATTCCCCTTCAGCTTCAGCTCTGACTAGACAGGCCTTACAGTGTAACCTGTCGCTATCCCAGCTACATTAGAAAAAGCTATTACTGTAGCACCCTGGAGATAACCTCTTTGTGTGAGCCAGGCTGCCGCTCCCTCAGGTGTTCAGCGGCCATCGGCCTAAAGCAACATTTTCCAGCTCGGTCTAGAGCAGGTGCGACAAGACACACTGGGACTGCAATATTTCATTCCTACTTGCCAGGCAAATAGAAAGCTTTGTGCAGCGGGGGAAGTTTGCACAATTTCACCTTTTACTAAGATGTGTAGTTTCCCTCCCACAAGTAAAATAAACACCTCAGTGCAAGCTTCATCTATGCCCTCTACGCAAGTCCCCAGCCAGGTCAATCCTATTGCAGGCTTTCTACCTTCGGCAAAGTGAGATTAAGTGCCCTACAAGGCTCTACTCCTGTGGGGAGCTCTGTGGGCAGCAGGGACAGGGACCACATCCACATCCACATCCTGCTGTGCGTGCAGGGAAAAGCACTCAACTGCACCTAAGGCACTAAACTGATCTAAGGGACGAGTTACAAAGCAAGAGCGAGGGCTCCAGATTTTAAGTGACAGAGGCGGAGCACCAAAAACATCAGTGAAAAAAGTGAAAACACCTTTTTTCCTTCAGCAAGGGCAGGTGGGCTCCAATTTTCTTTTAAAAGTTTATCCTCTGCAAGCAAGTCTGGCAATGGCTACCAATAACAGCCTCACCTGAGTTCTCTTCCAGCAAATAGTTCGCAAAGCCATCCTGGGAATTAACACTACTAGTGTCTCCCTCCTAGTGAAACTTCATTTGATACCTGTGAAACACTTGGAAATCTTGCAGATGATTATTCTCTCTGCAAGGAATAGAGGGAGGGAGCCCTTTCTGTTTACCATGGCAGGGGAGGGATCTCAGTCCATGCAGCTCTGAGCAGATTTACACACAGGGACAGCCCAGATGGCTGCCCCAGGAGAGCAAATTGTTCAGAGGATCCTGAGAATATGCATGACTTAGGCTGGACTTTTTTCAGCTTTACCTACTACAGAGGATGGGGAGTGGGAGGTCAGAAACAAACACAAAGTGACTCTGCCTAGACTTGCCCAGTGTTATTTTTCAAGGCTTTTGGATTGTCTGCTCTGTGCAATGATCTATCTGGCACCGTCATTGCTCCAGAGGTGTAGAGACTAATTCTGTCCTAAGTGTTCCCATCTTTCAAAAGGCCGCACTTGACTGCTGTTATTAATTCCGTGCATGATGAAGACATTTAAAGCCTCGCAGGCTTTCTCACAAGCGGATGTCTTTCACACCTCGCTCTTATTAGTACAGCAGATGAATTTACACACACACCCGCTCACTCCTCACACCAGCCACCGCCGCTGTGAAACGCGGCTGCTGTCACCCGTCCCACAGCCACGGACACGCGTGCGGGAAACTCACTCCCACCTCCTCCTCCTCCTCCCACCCCTGCCCGGCCACAGCCTCCCCCCGCGGGGTGCCGAGGCGGGCTGCGCCCCAGGGAAGCTGCCGGAGCCCGGAACCCCGGCGCTGAGGGACGAGCCGCCGCCGCCCGCGTTGGGGTCCGGAGCCCCGCTCTCCCCTCAAGGCTTATCGGAAACTTTTCTCCCCCAGCCGTGCCGCCGCGCTCCCTTAGCGGGGCTACGGGCTGGGCTGGGTCGAGACGGGAAGTTTCTCCCCCGGTCTCCGGGCCGAAGCAACTTGCCCGCACGGTCCCCGAGCAGCCGGCGAGGCCGGAGCCGCGGCTGCCCGGGGGCCGATACGGGAGAAAAGCGAGGAGGAGCTCGGTTGGCGGGAGGGGGAGATGAAGCCGGGGCGTGGGGAAGCCGCTCCCTTCTTCTCCTTCCTCCTCCCCCTCCTCCTCTTCCTCCTCCTCCCCTCCCCGGCTGCTCCAGCCTGGCAGCCAGGCGGCCGCTGCCTCCGGCCGGAGCCGCTGCAGTTGGGAAGCGGCCCCGGGCCCCCGCCGGGATGGGGGCGCCGCTGGCGGCTCCCGGGCTCCTGCTCCTCCTGGCCGGCACGGCGGGGCTCTGCCGGGCTCTCTTCTCCCTCCCGCTCCGCGTGTCCCACCCGGCCGCCCCCGGCGGGTCGCCCCCCGCCCCGGTGGTGCTGCGGCCGGGGAGCAGCAGCAGGCAGCAGGATCCCCTCGGTGGCGCGGACGGCTTGGCCTTGGCCTCGGATCCCGGGGGCACCCTCAACTTTTTAGCCATGGTGGAGAATCTTCAGGGGGACTCCGGCCGCGGCTACTACCTGGAGATGCTGATCGGGACCCCGCCGCAGGCGGTACGAGCGGGCCGGGGGCTGTGGGGGGAAGGGGGGTGGGGAAACTTCTCCTGGGTGGGCGGGAGTCTGCCCCCCCCCCCCCCCCCCCCCCCCAGCCCAAACGCAACTTTCTCCCGGTGCTCTGTACTGACGCCTCCCCCATCTTCCCCTTCCCCACCCCCCACCGTTCCCTTCTCTTCCCGAAAGACGGTGCCGGGAGCGGCGGCGGCGGCAGCAGCAGCGAGTTTCCACGGGCCGGGTGGGAGGCTCGTCCCCTTCGTCGTCCCCAACATCCCCGTCCCCCCTGGAGCGGGGTGGGCAGCGGTTGCGGGGGGCTGCTCTGCCCCGGCCCGGTGGCTGCTCGGGGCACCCTGCGGAGCCGGTGCCCGGGTTCAGGCAGTCTCACGACGTTTTGATGCGCAGCGAGTTGTTCTGTCAGTCGAAATGACTGTGGTTTAGAGTCAGAGGGTTCTTTTTTATTTATTTTAAATTTTTTTAAGCTGCTTTGCATTGTGATTGGGTGCTTTCACAGATCCTCCCGGTGCCCCCGGGAGAATCACTTGAAATCTTCCTGCTAAACTAAGTGATGGCTTGGCAAAACCAGCCCCTTCTTTCGGGAATTCATGTCTTTATTAATAACACAAGGAGCGTATGTGTTTTGAATATTGCTTTCAAATAGGCCGTGTCTCCTTGAATCTTCCCCGTCTGCCTTCACCAGCACTGCTGAAGTTTTTTTGCAATGTAGTTGCTCTTTCATCTGTGTCATGGGATCCCAGGAGGAGCGGAGTTGGGCTGCTGGTGGGGATGACTAGTCAGCTGAGTGGGGATTAATTTCCTGAAAGCCCTGGGGGCTTTCCCTCAGAACTTCGTGTTTGCTTCGGGAGTTTAGGTCCTTCCCAGAGTACACAAAAAAAATCTTTGTTCTTCTGCTTTAGCTTCTCTACATAATAAAAAGCCAGTGAATGCCAAAATGCCTAGCCAACAGGGAGCGTTCAGCCGTTGTTACGTTTTTGAACTTTGGTGAGCTCTTTCTTTTTTACACCTTGAATATAAGAGGATTGGCGACATCGTCACTCCAATTGATGTGTATAATGGTAGGATCAATACATGTATTGAGAAAGGGTGGTGGTGTTTTATGATCAATTAATGGAGGGTTTTGTTTTGATTTGTTTTTAAAAAAAAAGCACAACAAAAAAACAAAACCAAATAACTATCTAAATCTGACGTATCAAGGTGTGGCCCAATAGCCGCAGAGGCTGTGAAATAATTTTTCCTCCATGTTGTGCACTGCATATCTGACTAGTTTTAGTGTGGCATTGGGTGTGCTTCATTACTCAATGGAATGTTTAATATTGGTTTCTGCCAGAATCACGATACCAGATTTGATTGGACTAATAATCCAATTCACAATGTCTTAAATGAAAAAAACAATTTTAGGTAGAAAAAGTGACTATCAAGCATATCATCTCCTTACATGTCTAGGGGGATTCTGAAATTTGAAGAAATGGAGAAGGAAAAAATATGACAGGCTTTTGATAATGTGACCGGGGGTCTAAGAGGGAGAAATGTGTTGCCCTCAGTGCACCTGGAGGCTTCACTTACGCCTAACAGCTAGTATTACTTATATTACAAGTGATGTAAGGTTTCAGGTAAACCTGCCTCAGTGATTTTTTTTCCATCTGAAAAAACCCCTCTGAATCTGGTTGTAAAACTTTTACTATTTTGAACTAGTTCTGAGTTCTTGCAAAGTTAATTCTTTAAAAGACCGCCACTGGTGTTTAGCACGTGTGAAGTTTTATTCACAAGTAGGCCCACCGAGGTTGTAAGTAAGGTTATAAATGCGCTTGTGTTTCCAAAATCAGAGCTTGGCGTGTAGTGACTCAGTATAGTGCAGTTAAAATTTATTCTCCACTTTTGATGGAGATGAATTTGTTATCTCCTTCTCTGCCTGAAACTGGAAGACTTAAAGATCACAAATGTTCTTGTTTTTCTGCTTTGCAATGAATAGTATAAAGCTGCAAAGCCGCTACAGGCTAGTGCTACTTGAATCCTTCACAGTGCTGATACTAAAAGCAAGTATCTTGATACTGCCAAGCGTTGGGATTGTGTTAAACTCCTTGGGCAAGTAGTTGCTGGGGTCAGGGTGGGCATGATCAGGTAGAAAAGATGTCTCTTACTGGCTTAAATGCTCCTTCCAACCTGACTTGGCCTCATGTTAGAGGCTGCAGTGTGAAGCAGTGCTTGGACACCTTCCTTTACTCTTGCACCCCTATGGCATGGGACCTTCACCCAGTCTAACTCCCTTCCTTGCCCAGGCCTCTCCCAGGACTGCCGAGCCCACGCAGCGGGCAAGGCTGCCCTGGCATTTTGTTAAGGAGGAAGGAGGATACTGGCCATGAAGAAGAGGCCGCAGGGCAGCACAACTTCGCTTGGCGCTGTGGGAACAGAAGGGGGGATGGCAGAGCTGCTGTTCCAGGCAGTGTTGCAGGGAGGGGATGGGTTAAATGCAAACAAGGCCGTGGTGGACCAAGACCAAAGAGCAGGTTGTGAGAGGAGGCACAAGACCTAATGTCATGGTTACAGTAGCATTGGTGCCTGGTAACTTTGAGAGTGTGTGTGCTAAGTGATGAAAGCTACTGTGGGGAATGAGCATTTGTGAAAGACTTCAGCACTACTGAGCTTGCTTTACTGCTCAATTGCATTTTTAGAAATTTTCCTTTTTTAATTTCTGTTCTTGGAAGGAAGCTACTACGAAAGAACTTTGTGTTTCAGGTCATTTAAGGCACACTCTTTGGCTTTTGTTCCAATTCTGATTTGTCATATAGGAGATAAACACAGAACAGAACTGAGTTTCACAATGGCAGTTCTGAAATACTTGTTCTGACGATATAAAAATAGAGCAGCTTTGTGAAGTCAAATTTATTTTACTTTCAAGAGAGGAAACTTCAGTGCAGTCGGTCCAGTTTTGCAAAGTGTTTGCAGCCAAAGTGTTTCTGATCATTTCCACTTTCATAATACTGTATCCTTCCTAATTGTATCAGATCTCCAGACAAACTACCAGGTTGGTGTCAGCTGTCATTACCCCCATTAATTCTCATTCATTCGCATGCAGATCTACCTAAGAATTATGTGAAAGGTGAAAAATTAGGTCTATTGTGTTGAAGAATGTGATATATTTGTCTCTTATTTTATGGATGTATTATTATGTGTCCTACTTCTGACAGATTATGTGCTTTACACCTGTCTGTATAGTTCACTTCTTCCAATTCCAGATTTAAATAAGAGGTGGCAAGGGCCCAATATGAATTGTGTGCACTGTTCTTACTTCTTATTTCTTTAAATAATCTGATGGAATTCCTTTCCTCTAGCTTTTATTATTTTCCCTGCCCTGAGATTATAAGCACTGTGAGGAATTGAATCAAAGATCATTCAGGGTGTTTTTCACTATCTTCGCTGTAGTTCTCTTCATATTAATTTTGCTTCTCCTGTGAGCTTTTGACCAACAGAATAGTCAAACTCTTAAAGCACCCCGTGTTCTTCACAGTTTTCTTGAAGTCCATCTGCACTGCATTAAATGTTTGCAAAGTTCTCTTGCCTCATCTTGCCTTTTGTACTAGTCTTCATTGTATGAGGTAGTGGTAGCCCTGGCAGTCCCACTGCACTTCCAAATCATGTTTTTACTGAGACCAGGTAAATGTTATTCCTGCAAGCCTCATTGCAAAGAGAGGCCAGGCATGTGCCTGCTGAGAGTCACGTATCTGTGGTCTGACCAGCAGGTGTTGAAAACACGATAGGATCTGATTTGTGCTCTGAATGCCACAGCTCCTTTTTGAAATTTCAGTGTCAATTTTTCATTCTATGCATGAAGAGGTTTTGTCTATCGTTTTTCCCAGTGGCAGTTTGTTCTGTGCAGGGGGTGAGCAAAAACCTGTCCTGTGAACTTGATCTGAAGTTTTAAGGTCAAGATGAATGTTAGGTCTAACGGCCTTCACTGTGAAATACAAACTCCAATTTTCATTTAATTGGAGGGAGGTTATCTTTCTTTCAATTTCTTCCAGCTATTAGAAAAAATAAAGATAAAGAAGGATATGTATCAAACACCTTAAGTGTGTCATGGGCTCTTACAATTTATAGCTTGGTATTTTGAAGGTGATGAACACACACATTAGCAAGTTCTGAACACGCAGCCATTCTTCCTTAATTGTTGATAGCTCTTATTTCTGGGTGTTGGAAGGAATGAAGATTGTGAGGAAAGATTCAACTGCTCTTGTTATTTCATCACTTCACTAGTCTTGCTATATTGGGTGATAAGGGCCTCATTTCTGGAACTGTGCTATTCCCTAAGAAGTTAACCTCTGCTTTCTTAATTTTGCTGAAGGAGGGTTTACCATCTTTCTAGATACAAGAAGTTTTGAAAATGTGATCCCTCCAGGTTGAAATACCAGAAGGCAAGCTCCAACTTAAGACTCTCTCCGTTTCCTTTTTTTTTTTTTTTTTTCTTTTCCATAATTACATGGGTCTTTCATGTTTATTTTTGAGCTCTTTATGAAAGCTGAAAAAAGGAAGGGTTGAGGAAGAAAGACAAGTGTTGTGGTATATTGGAATATTTTGATGTGACAGTGTCAAAATCCCTCTAATGGAAGTACTATTGAAATGCAAATGTTAAATGAGGAGTTGAGTAGATTTAGTTTATTGTTGTTGGTGCCTGCAAAATAAAAGGGACAAGGACCTGAAAGTCATAAGACAGGACTAACATAGTGATGTACTGTGACGCGGTAGTGTATAATGTGTTTTTGACCAGAGACAAAGCAGACAAACATATCAGGTTTGGGTTGACAGAAAGGTCCCTGCCTTTACAAATTAGCATTCTGGCACCTCCTTCTATACAAATTTAGCTCTTGCAAAAAGGACTGCATGGAGGTAGTGGAGCCTGTACTATAAACATAAATCAAAACATGAGTATTAATTACAGTGCAGTTGCTCTGAGTAGAGTATAGTACAGTTGGTGTTTTGTAGCAAGG